TTCAGTGACTATTTTTATATTCCATGGCAGTATGTTTATTTGCACAAGTTCAATAAGAATCTGCTTTCCTTGTAAGAAGACTAATTAAAAACACTGGTTATACTACCAAGGCTTTGACTGGAATGTCATACCTGAGAGACATGTGCATAAACTCAGATATGAACAACTTTAAGGAACTAAGATTGACTTTATAAAGCCAACAAAGCCCCTTAGAAGAACTGGCCTGGCACCTTGCTTACAGAGTTCCCAGCAGCCTTACCAGGTGAGTAAGGAAGGTCACTTCCTGGCAGGTGCAGGAACCTCAAGAAGAGAAGAATTCACCCAAATCTACAGGTACTGAAGGCACAAGCTCATGGCAAGTCTGGCTTGGCTTTCTGGCCTCAAGAAGCCCTTAAAAATTCAATCTGAAATTCCTTACAGAAAGTTCCAGCAAAGCATATTTAAAAGAGCGTGTGTAATCAATTGCTCTTCTTGCTGCACTTATGCAAATAATCAAGCCAGCTGTTAATTATTTTCTTAACCTGGTTACTTCTATAAAATGAGGGTAATTTTTAGAGAAAGTATTGTTGCAATAACACAGCCTTATCCATACTAAATCCTAATACTAGTCATTGGGACATAAACTAGATCCAGAATTCCAGCTTCTTCAAAATATCTAGCTATGTTTTAGTTTTCTCCTGTCATTGCAATTAAAATTTTACTATTTCTAGTTCTCATATTCAACCATGCATTCTTAATCTCATCAAGTTTGTCCTTCCAGAATGGAAAATACAACTCCAGATGTTGCTACATAACCTAATAACACAATTTGTTTTATCTTGCCTAGAAGCCACAAAACTGCAAATAGTAATAGAAATGAAACCCAGAATAGAAGTGCCAACCTTCTGAGGCCCTCTCAACTGACCAGTGATGGAGACCTTGCTGCACCCTTTACTGTGACCCCTTCTCAACATGAAGCAGCCAGAGTGGTCATTGCCCCTTTTCCCTAACAGCAGCTAGAGTCTCTATCTGTAGAGGGGAGAATGAGAGAGACCATAGGCTTAGACAGAATAAAGTGAGAGCCTCTGGAGAAAGCAAGGCAGAATATTTGCAATCAGAGGAATGTAACTACATGCTGGAAACCCCCCTCCTACTAAAACTATGTTGAACATTAAGCTCTAGAATCATTCAGTGAGATCAGTTAATGTTCCCCAGATAAAGAAGAGTAGTACATGTTTTATTATGCTAATCATTTGTAATCATGTATAAGATTCACTTTAGCATACTAAAAAGCCCAGGCCTATGTGCTGTCTTTCCTCCTTTTGATCTAAGTAATTTTGCAAGCTGAGCAACTGACTTAGCATGCAGACCCAGCTGTAGATGGCATAGTAAAAGGCAGGATTCTTTAGCAAATATACAATATCTCAGCCCACCTTAGAGGCTGGGCACACAGTCTTTTAATGTGCGCCTGGACCAAGGTACCAGTGTCCCAGAGAGAAATCAAGGCAGGAGATTATCTTTAATCAAGGACCCCTTGCCATCCTACTCCTTTTCCTAACCCTTAGGCTCTGTATCATCAACAGGCTGGTCCAGATTGTCAGAGACCACATGGGGGCCATCCAACTGATGGTCCTCCTTGGTCAATACAAGCCCCTAGTAATCTTGTTACTCCTGCTTACCTGATAACTTATTAAAAATAGAGTTAATACAGTCCAGCTAATGGTGCTAAGACAACAGTATCAGCCTTTATCTCCTTACAACTGCAAAATTTTATTAGACCCATGATTGGGTCCCTTAGGATCCAGAGAAAGGGGGGAATGAAAGGGCAAGCTCCCAGATCCTATTTCAGCCAATCGGAGCTTAGTCTCTCTCCAGTCAGCAAGAAGTACACCCACCACGCCTAGACCCTGCCAACTGACCAAAGCCTCGACTCATCACCACCACCCCCAACTACCCCCAGGCCCAGCCAATCAGCCAGAGCCATGGCCATCACCCCCCCCAAACCACCCTGGAAACCCATAAAACCTCTGTTCTGGGGAAAACGCGCTCTCTTTCTCTGGCACCTGGCCACTGTGTTGGCATGGGTGTGAGATTGAGCTTGGGCTAGCTTGAATAAAGGCTCTTTTGCTTTTGCATTGGTGTTGGCTCCTTGGTGGTCTCCTTGGGATTCGCGACTTTGGGCACAACAGTCTGGTTACAATGCTTCAGTTTCCTCCTCCAGGACCATTGTGGAAGAGGGGGAATGAATAGATTGTAAGGCGAGATTTCTGGAGGTGTGGCCTGTGGGTAAAATTGTAATATTTTCAGAATATCTCACCTGGTTTTGGTGCATCTGCCTATCAACAGGTGTTCCTCAAGGGTGTAGAAAAGTAGTCATTTCCATATGAATGGGTAATTACCTGGGCGATCCAGGGCTTATCTGAACCTGAGAGGTTAGGGGGAGGTCTTGCTGGTTTCTGTCAAGAGTAGGAAAGAGATGGTCCTGGATTGCAGTTTCTAAGTTTTAAACTTTATTTCTCTCTTTGACTGATTTTGGTTTTAAAGGTATTTTGTCCCAGAATTTCCTCTCTCTTGAGTTACAGAGACAAAATGCAGATAAGGTGAGCATCGAGAAAGCTTTATTTCAAGTTATGAACTAAAAGAGAGAAAAAGTGTGGGTGTCCTCAGAGAGGAGGTGCACTGAAAGCTTAGGTGTTCTCTCTTTAAAGCATTTTTCAGGAATGTGACAAAGGGCCAAGGGTGTGAACTTAATAAGTGGTCTCAAGATGTTTGTCTCTGATGAGAGACACCATGTCTCCTCTATTATCAGTCCTCCAGCTAGTTCCTGCAAAACAAACAACACAAGAAATTTATTGATCTGGTTCCTCCCCAGGATAGCAGCTTCCCTCTGGGAATATATCAATGAAGATTGCTTGCCCTGGCTCCAAGGTGGGGGCTCCCTTCTTGCCTTGCCCTCTAAAGACTCTTTGCTAAAGAATATGTTAGGAGTCTTACTCTCTAACCTCCTGGCTTTTAAAATGGAATCTTAGCCTTAAAATGGAATCTCTCCTGTTCTTACTATACTGCTTATATCTCAGCTTGTTTGGAAAATTAATCATGATGCTTGTCTCAGGTCCCTACTCTATATCGGGGGATGAGGACTGAGGAGAATGAACTCAACCTGTGATAGCTAGTGACTAAGGAATGAAATTTTACATTTAATTTCATATTATTTGTTCTAAATGTAAGTGGCTACCTGTGGTGAGTGGCGACCATCCTGGTCACAGGGCACAGGTGTAGGCCTTGGACTCTTTGGTTCAACTCCAGGCCTGCTCCTACTCAAGTGCCTCCTGCCCTCCCTGGTCCATACCTGAGTGGGTCTTTTCTTCTCTCCTGCTCGGAGGATTCCTCTGTCTATCCAGCCAGTCCTCATTCTGTGAGGTTTGCTCTCTGCCCTGCCACCTCCCCGCATGTAGCATCTGGGAGAAGAAAACACAGGCTGTGTACAACAATGAAGATTTCAAGTTTTTCTCCCACTTGAGTGTATGCTGGGGAAGGACGGAAGTGTCCGTGACAGGAGAGAATGAGGACATAGCCAGAAACAAAAAATGTCCAGGTGTACCCTTTCACCCCTAATTACAAGTTCTAGTTTAGAGGAGGCAGTACCTTCCATATCCTTTTCAGCTAACTACAGATTTGAGAATCAGAAAGTTGTAGTTGCAGAGAGTTCTTTTTAAAACACACATTTTCTGGACCTCAGCTCCAGGAAATCCTGATACAAAAAGCTACTGACTTAGGAATCAGTGTTTCCTCAAACATCCTTTAGAGTTTCTGCATTGAGCCAGCTTTTGGGAATGGCCTTCATTAATATACTGTGGCTGCCACCGGGGAGCTTTTGAGTTGGCCCCATGCCATTAAATCTCCTGGACTGCTCTGCTTTTCAAATGTTAGTGTCCATGTTTTGCAGTTTTTTGCTCTACTGCCACCTCTAGTTTCCTGCCTCCTTCCACAAATGAGCTTTCAAAGAGAGTAATTCCTGTCCTAGTAAATAAACTCTGCCTGCAGATCTGAGATTTCCTACTATCTCCAGAATATCTGCAATGTAAGGACCTCTGTGATATGTTTTAGTTTTTTCTCTCCAGGAGTTTGGCCGTTCTGCTTTGCTCTCTAAAGACAGTCTTCATTTTCTTAGATATGTGCGTCAGTGCCCACAGTGTATTTATTTGAAGTTGTCACAAGTTCTCATTTGGCAGTGACTTTCGTATTTGCTTCACCACTTCTGCTTTAGCATTGCCAATTGTAAATGGCCTAGACTTTGTATGAAAAAATAACTCGTTGGGACGGGCCTGGAAATTGTTGGCACAAGAGAGCATCTATGGATACCTCCCGTAGGAGATTAGGAGCCTTCCCAGCTGGCAGGAATTGTGTCCCAGGAGACCTACCCCCTGTGGCCAGCATTATGTAAAAGGTAGGATAGCCCAGTGCTTCACACTAGAATAATTCAGTCAACAGAAGATTCTGCATGTATTACACAACGTAACTCATTTATAACCAAGAAGAGAGGACCAACAGAAAGTTGTAATATGGGATTTATGTTGGGGAGAATGATGCATTCCTAAGCGTCTCGCTCTGGAGATGGAAGTGACTTTCTGCCAGCCGTTGCGGGCGGGCGGGCATCACACGGCTAACCGAACAGCCTTCCGTGGCTGCATCCGGTTCCCTTTGCGGGACTGAGCGCAGGCCGTATGTCCCAGCGCTAGTCGGTCTTCGCGTCCACCTCAGGGCCCTGCCAGTCCAGTGCCGCAGGGAGGTTGGAACCAACGCGACGCTGAGTTTCTGCAGTTTTCGTGGAAAGCCGCGGTCACTGGAACGACGCAAACGCCCCTGGCCCAGGACCCTCAATAGGCCCGCCTCGCCCCATCCTGGCCCGCCGTGCCCTGCGGCCTTCTGGGAACTGTAGTCGGCCCGCCTGCGCCAGCGCCTCCAGGGCCCGGCCTGGACTACAAATCCCTACGGGTCCCGCGCGCTGCGCCTGCGCTCTCATCGCTACCAGAGGAAAGGCGTGAAGGCGCGTCTGAACTGGTGGGGAGGTTGCGGTGGCGGCGGCAGCTGGGGGCATGGATAACGCGGGGAAGGAGCGTGAGGCGGTGCAGCTGATGGCAGAGGCCGAGAAGCGGGTCAAGGCTTCCCACTCCTTCCTCCGAGGGTTGTTTGGGTGAGCGCCAGTCCGCGGGTGACCTGGGAGCGTCTCCGTGTCCGGCCGTTCCCCTGCAGGCTTTCCCCCGCGATTTCCTCGGGCCCCTCAGAGGGCCCAGGCGCCCACCGGGACCGTCCCAAGGTCCTCGGCCCCCGCTCCCCGCCGGGGAGCCCCTAGGCTGCCCAAAACGCCGTACGCGCCCCCTCGGGCCCCGCGCTGGTGCGGGTCCCCGGGCCTTGCCGGTGCACGGCTGCCCGGGGTGTGTGGGAAACTCACTGACGTAGCGAGACGGATTTTTCTTTTCGTCTCGGCCCATTCCCGCATCGCTGGGAGAACCGTGCCGGGGTGAGGAGGGCCGAGAGGAGCAGGAGGACCCCTGGCCTGCGCTCGGGGGGGTGGGGGCGTCCGGCTGAGCGGTGCGCCCTGGTTCAGCGATCGTGTATCAGATTGCCTGGCGCCAAGTAGACGTTCAATAAATAGTCGTTGGATGAACGAATGCGTTTCCTCAGCATAGTGTATTTTCTAACCAGAGATGATTGTCTTAGCCAGGGCCTCCTGTTTGATTAAGAATAACCCAATTCTGTTTAGAGTCGGGGCCTGTCGGGAATCCAGATAATTTGTTCTGCTAGGAAAGGTTTTAAATTCGGACTTACCAAAAGGCAAAGCCTGCATGGACAGTTTTTGGAGGAATTCTGGGCGGTTGAATATGTGAATGATTCAGCTGTTTAGGGTGAGGGAGAGGCAGAAATTTCGCGGTGGTTTTCTGTTTTTTTCCTTTTGAAAGTGAAAGATAAACTGCTGACACCAAGAGCATATTTTTGTTCTTGAGAAGGACCAGTGTTCCATATTTAACCATTGCATTTTTAGACGTAGTTTTATTTCTGTACAGATTGTTTGGAATCTTCTTGTTTTGCCACCTTCATCCTTTAATAATAATATTGTCGCACTGTTGGTACATATCCAGGAAATGCTTAAATGTGAGTTCTGTTCAGGGCCTGGCGAGTGCAAGATGCACAGATGCATAAAGGGAGGGATTTCTGTTCTCAGGGACCTCTCAGAGCTCATTTACCCAGCTGGTTTCTCAGTTTCTCCTGTGATGTGCAGTTTGGAACATACCAGTTGATTGTTAAGTTTGTTCCCTTTAAGAGTTGTGACAATACATAAGGAGCACTGTCTTATACTTGATACTAACACCAAACAGTAGCTCCTTTCTCAGATTCACAAAACAATCAAAATAGATTCAGATAAAATTTAATGTCGTTGCACCTCATGCCAGGATGTCATATTAATGTCACAGCATATTTCAAGTCAGGATGTGCTTCCCTGGAAGAGAATCTGTAATTGGAGGAGTGAAAAAGCATTACTTGTCTCGGGAAATACTCTTTTTTGTGAAGATAGAGGTGTTGTGTTACTGTTCTTGTGCAACTAGGCCAAGCATTGAGCCAGTATCCTAAAAGGATTTTGAAAAGGCTTTTTGTCTTGAAAGAAATGTATTTTTCTTCTCGAGTGTTGATGATTTATTTCATTGACAGTTCATCTAGAAAGACTTTAACCTTCACAAGTGACACTCTTTCTACGTGAAAGTCATTGCACTCTTTGTAGGGCTGACATGGAAACAGCAGGTCAGTTTATTCTCCCAGCTTTAGGCCCTGGCGCAAGTTACTTAGCTTCTTCATGCCTCAGTTTCCTCTGCTATAAAATGGGGGCAACAACAGTACATGGCATAGTTAGCGTTCAATGAATTCTTGTCAAACGTTTACAACTTGGAGATAATTATTATAAAATATTAATTAGCAAATTCATCAAAATTGTCAGCCCCAGTTAGGTATCAAGGAAGTGGAGAGCCAGACAGATTAAGTGACTTTGCCAAAGTCATTTCAGAGCCAAAACATTTTGGACTGGATCACTGCTCTTTTAGTGAAATGAAATATTTGAAAGAGCATATCATATTAAGTATTATTTGCAATGGATGACCGTTTTATTTTCAGTAATTATTGGCTCTGGGAAAGCTTGGGGAAGAAGAGTAGTTGGACATTCTGTGAGTTTTAATAGTATTATATGATTATTGGAAGCCAAAAACCAGGCCTAGTTTCTCTGTCAGCTACAATGGAAAACAGCTTCTATATCGGTTAATTTAGGTGTTTTAGAATCTTACATTTTATCTGGCATCGCTTGCTCCTTTCATCAGCCTTCTAGGCTGAAATGCATGTTACTCTATCCTACCTCCTTAGCTGTGGGATTCTTCCTTCTACTTGTTATTTATTTAAACTACAGTGTAGTCCATCTCCCTGTGGGAGTCTTGACTTAACAAAACTCACATACCAACATGAGTATTGTCAAGCCCATGCACTTCAGAGCTGACTGGTTAGTGCTTCAAGGGGCTCAGGTGAGGCTATAGTGAGGCTATGGCTGCCACTAAAGGAGCCCAGCATGGTGCAGAGGATTCACATCACTTGATGCGGTCCAGCTGCGCCGAGTTGAGCAGGTCCTGAAGTGTGGAAGGGGGGTGAAGAAAACAAAGAAAGGACTGGGAGGGCTGACGCTCCTGTGCGTCAACAGCAAAGCTTTATTAGAGTCGAGAGTATTTATACAGCAAAGAAGGCACACTATTCCAGGAAATAGCATTATCCAATAGACAATCAAGCACAGTATTGATGTCAGCGGTAGCCGGGCAAAGGTAGGCACAGCAGGGTTCCTTCAGTTGCTCATGGAATGTGTAAACAGGATGTTCTTTGTTCTCCATTCCGTGCCACATCAGCAAGTGGGGGAAGGGGCATCAGCCCGCTCCCCACATCTCCCCCTTTTTTATTTTATAAGAGGGTGACAGCGCCTGTCTTAGGTGTTCCTGGATGACTTATCTGGACTTACCCGTCATTGGTACCCACATTCCATCATGAGGGCCCTGTCTTAGGTTACCAGAGGTCTCCAAGACACTTACCCGTCGTTGACTATCCTGTCCGCTTCTCCACATCCATATAAGGAGGGTGGCGTTTAAGAGCTAGCATATGGGTCTCGGAACCCAGTTGCGAAAAGGACTGTAATCCTAGTTTGATGACACAAATTTCATTATAAGCTGCATGAAATTTCAATTGGTGCCTTAACTTTAGGCCCTGAACCTCTTCACCCAAATACATGACCATGTCATACAGGGCATTAAGCGTATGACTTATTTTCTCATCAATATTCCCTTGATCATTAAGAGCCTGAGTTGCATTTTGGGTCAAACCATTGACATAGATTGCAGTTTGTACATTCTCGTTAATGCTACAGTAGAAGATACAATAAAGGAAATTAAAGATAACAACCCTACAATTATGAGGCCCACAGCTCTCTTGGGACTGTCTAGAGCTTTCTTCAATTCTATCAATAC